CGGGGTTGACAACATCGATGTGCCTGCAGCGACAGCGCATAATGTCGTTGTTCTTAAGTAAGTGCTCCTTAAGCCGTTAGTGCAAGCCCTTGGAGGGATGGAGGGATGGAGGGATGTAGGTATGGAGGATGGCGTTTGTCGATGGGCCAAAATTATGCGCATTTTCAATCGGCGGATTGGCTCGCTGTCGCTATCGTATTGCAGCCTCCAGACCACGGCGACTTGGGTGGGTCAATTGACGCCGTTTGACACGCATAATTAAGGGACCCCGAGTGTCGCGCATAGTGCGGGTAATGGGGTCTTCGATGTCACAAGCCACAGCACATTGCCAAGGATACGGAGCAAAGCGCGAAAATTTGCCAGTTTTTTTTTCTTTTGTTATTTTTTTTTTTCTTATAGAACATTTGCATAATGCTGTCTAGTCACAACAAACGCCACCCCGAAACTCCAACCTCTGACTACACTCCCGTGCTGCGCCACTGTCTGTCACGGCATTTAGGGAATGTTTAACTAAACTCTGTCGCTTTCAGCACTCCGGGTGGCAATTCTATTTCTGCCTGTGAGCTGACGTGCATCCTAATTGGTGCCCTGGCCAGACCCGTCGTCCCCGCCGGCCAGAGCATGAAGGAGGGTCGCTGGGATAGGAAACTCTACAGCGGCACGGAGCTCTATGGCAAAACATTGGCGGTTCTCGGTCTGGGACGCATCGGACGCGAGGTTGCCATCCGCATGAAGACATGGGGCATGAAGGTGGGATTGTGTTAGCTTTTTACCTTAGAAGTCAATACTAATTGAACATGGAATGTTTTTTTTTTTGTAGATAATTGGCTATGATCCCATTACCACGGAGGCAGAGGCCAAGGCTGCGGGAATTCAAAAGCTCACCCTGGAGGAGATCTGGCCCCTGGCAGACTATATAACTGTGCACACGCCTCTCATTCCAGCCACCAGAAGTGAGTATCCTGTAGATTTATTTTGTGTTTTGGTATTCGGTATTTATAAATGTATTCTCCCCTTATTCGCAGATCTCATCTCTACGGAGACGTTGGCCAAGTGCAAGAAGGGGGTCAAGGTCGTGAATGTGGCTCGTGGCGGCATCATAGATGAACAAGCCATCATCGACGGCCTCGAGAGTGGCCAAGTGGCTGGGGCCGCCTTCGACGTATTTCCCGAGGAGCCGCCCAAGTCTGCGGTCACCAAGGCCCTCATCAGTCACCCGAAGGTGGTCGCCACGCCCCATCTGGGTGCCAGCACAGCGGAGGCGCAAGTGCGTGTTGCCGTCGAGGTGGCAGAGCAGTTCATCGCCCTAAATGGCAGCTCCCCGAAGTACACTAGCACCGCGGGCGTTATCAACAAGGAGGCCCTTGCACATTATCAGTAGAGCATCATTGCTGAAGGAGAAATTCGAAATAAAACACTCTCACAACATTCAACATTCAACATTCTTCGGAGATCCGAGAGGTCCCAGTTTTATGATTAGTTTTTATTGTAAATACAAAACAGAAATATGTATGAATAAACATAGCCGAACTGTTAATTTACCGCAAAAATAAGACTGTACTTTGAACATGCAAACAAATTTAAGAACGCTGAGAGGCAGTAACATAAGCAAAGCGAAGGAAAGAGCGCAAGAGCAACGTTTTGGCACTCTCTTTGTTCTTTCTTCTAAAGAGCGAGAAAGCTCAAACTCCTCTCTTGGCTCTTGTAGAAAGTTAAGCTAGAATTAAAGCAAAAATTCTCTCTTTTTCAATTCGCATACTCTTTCAAAACGGTACCTTTGTTTTCAAGTAAACAATTTTCTGTTGAATACTTATTCTTTCCGTTGAATTTCTTTCTGCTCAGATCAGAAGCAATGAATGCTCAGTTTCATCGGAACCTTCAGGGCCGGAAGATAGCTTTTCATTTACTTGTTTTGCCTTTATGGATTGTCCACCCAAAGAGCTTGTCCTTAATATACATAACTCAATTTCTGCCTGTTTACAGACTGCGGGCAATAAATAAAATGAGAGTGAAAACAAAGTTTTCTGGCCGTCAGCATGGGATGTGTGCTTACGCCTTGGGCAAGTGTGAAAGCCTCCAACTGTACCAGTTGAACGGCTTACATACATTTATACATACAATCTACTTATCACAATCGTAAATGCTGTTTAATGCTATTTGTCGATTAAAGTTTAAAAAGATAATTAATGCGGGGTGGTACAGCTGGAATAAATATATCTGAAATGATTATTTTTTTATACGGTTCGGTTATACGGTTATACGGATCGTTGAATGCATTTTTCGTTGAAATCCATTATATATATTCGATTATGAATATTCAAATGTATATTTTGATATCCTTTTGTTGATTTCAGATTCGTAGCTCTACCCAATTAAATGAAACAATTGTACAGAAAGTATCACACTGTTATATGACACTGTGCTACTGCAGTATTAAACACGTTCGAAAGTCAATTAGCGGGTATTTTCTTTGCGTGGACAACTGTGTTAATCGAAAAAGTTCTTATTTACCGCTCCTTGGCGCAACCCCTCTTGTGTATCTCTTATGTGGTACTCATTGTAGTGTATCTTAACAGTAAACTAAGTTAAACTTAACCCCTTGAAGCAACTTATTGTTGCTTTCTTTACTCAACAGTAAACGATTCTCAAGCAATCCCCAAAGAAGAGAAAGAAATAATGAAGGAACTTCAAAAAAAGAATGATTGAACCATTCATATGTAAAATGTGGTACGACCCAAAATATTACAAAGAAATTTCCAGGAAAATCGCACCACAATAGCAATCAAACATATTTTTTCGAAGCTACATGAAATTCAAGGCACAGCCTAACTTAATTCCTGACTTTTTGATGCTCTGATGCTGAAACGAACTGAAATGAATAACTAAAATTAAACTTTAGCTGGTGCATAAAAATGTTAATATTAATATGCAACTGGAAGCAACGTTTCCGCATGTCCTATCAAATGAAAACTGCTGCTGTCACATACATAATTTACGGGTCAGAAGGCCAGAGCGAATGGGCTGCCCATCCCAGTGTCGACATTATTTTGGATGTGCACACACAAATATAAAGGCACCTCAAACAGTTATGTGAATGTTTGCTAGAGACATGATTTTATGGTCGTGGCAAAAGACCAACAGGAGTCGGGAGTTAAAAATAAATTTAATTTCAATCAGCTTACGTTTCAGCTCAAATGGAATCAAATTTTAAGCAAGAATTGAAATTTAACTAGAACCATCACATAAAACGCTCTCAGACATAGCCCTTGAATATTAGAACAATGCGTACAGTGCACGAAATCCAACGAATTATTATTAGTTATCAGCTTGTAGCTATTCCTTTCTTCCGGTTACCCAACAACTCTGGCTGGCACTGTACAGCCTTAGAGCGAGTATGCAGAATTGTATTCAGTTACAAATTACCTTTATCGATGAACAATGAATTACACACCCGAGACAGGCACAAAAGCATTTGAATGCGATGCGTAATAAGACATGTGATGCCAGAGTAGCAGGGCAAAAACAATTCAATTAGTTGACATCGTATACCTGGATATACAATAATTGAACAAATGCAATTAAAAGCAATACGCGACGCTTCTAATCTGAAGCGCGTGAGAGTACTTACAGATGACAATGGGAGATGTCTGCGCTGTGAATATGTAAATTGTTTCCTATGGAAATCCTATTAGCCCACTTGCCCATAGAAAGCTTTTAAGTGCAAAGAATGACCATGACAGTGACCACGGCCCTGAACTTGAACCTTAAAAATGCACGTGGAAATCGTGTCAATGTGCTGCTCCGAAATGTGCTCCGAAAATCCGATTAACCCACTCATTGCCGCAGAATGCTCTTAGCTCAAAAGACTAACCCTGACAATGAAAATGAAGCAAAACAATGCAAATGGTGAAATCTCCTCTTACTGATATCACTTTCAAATCTACATATCAGCTTTTTTTCCATATAAATGCAATAAATTTGTTCTGCCATGAAACAATTGATAACATAAATTTCTTTCCATTCTCTTGCTTCAAAAGTAAAGCAAATTTGTGCCAACATTTCTGAGAAATACCAAAAAGCATCCCAACAAAATCTTAACTATTTTGAATGGCAAATATACTGCGTTTCGTTTATAAAAAACATACTACTGGTCAACTCAAAACATGTTTACCTGCTCCAAAATAAACACATAATTGGGTCTTACTTCCTTTCAAATAGCACAACGAAAAGTTGTTTTTCTTTCGCTTCAAAACTTGGTAATTAAGAGGATATACAATGTTACAAAAAAATCAAAATACTTTCCAATGCAGTTGCGTAAGGAAACCGATTCCACTTTATGCGAGGGTAGATGCGTTCCTAGGAAACATAAGAAACATAAGATATAAATGCCACCCAAAATCTATTTGCTCCACACTTAAAAAGGGTTGTCAGATTATCTACATAATTGACGACTAGACTGACTGAAGATGCCATTTGATTGCAGGCAAAATGTGTTGGATAAACATCAGGAAGGAAATAGGTAACGTGCTCAACAGGACAGAAGCTATTCGACCTGATGTGACATCGGCTTCTAGACTCCTACTCCTACGCACACGGACATTGGCGGCGTACACAAATCAGCATTGGGTCAGTATAAATTTGAAAAACGGAAGATTTCGACTCATGGGGAAAACAAACAAACAAAGTCCTTCACATGCTGACCAAACCCACACAACAAGAGGCCAGTCACAGGAGGCAACATGCCATCACCCTTGATGCCAGGACTCTATGGTTTTTGTCATTCATAGACCACTTAATTTTGGCGCGACGCCCCCCGAGGCTCGTCCTCTGCAACCCAAAGCCGGAACCGATACGACTGCGACGTAGAACACGAAGCTCGTAGGCTATAAAAGGCCAGCCGACTCGGCACGAGCAGCCACAGTCTCCGACAGACTACGGCCGTGATGCGTAACGGATAGCAGCGCCAGAGACCAACAGAGAAGAACTGCAGCCATCACCTGTTGGGATTAGAATTAGGAATATTTAATATATGTGTGGACTCTGGTCGGTTGTTTATATTAGCTGGATTCTCGAGCTCTACTCCGCACCATGTGATGGTATTTCTTGGTGACGTAGTGCCGTCAAGCAGTGCCGTAGTCGTTGTTGTCGGAGTTCCCTCCGTCCTTGTGCGCGACGATATCAGTTTCGTGTAAAATAAAACTTTATTGCGTCCGTTAAGAATGCCTGCCACTGCCACAGCCGCATTCTGTTGCAATCTCGCATTGCCTGCTGCCATCCTGGTGTTGCTTCTGCTGCTGGGCACTCAGAGCAGCTCCCTGCCAGGGACAGGAACTGCAGCAGCAACAGCAGCATCCTCGACACGCCGTCTCTCTGACACGATAAATATTGGATTCCTAGCGGAATACTCCCAGATGAGGGTAAGTAAATTAAATCTTCCAACGCTCCTCCTAGCCCCCACTCGCGGTGATTTGTTTGCATTGAAAAATCTGAAAAAAAATATCTACAAATTTATCGAAATCCTGACGCACATAATTGTAAATACATTTTTGTGCCTGACTAATTGTGTATCTGCATGCATAATATATGAACTGACAGCATTTACAATTTAAATTCCAAACCCAATGTTGGGGTCACAAGTCAACGCACATCCTGTCCGGAAAATATCATCAAATTTATAGCGTCGATATTGGGCGACAACAAAATGACTCACACACATCAGTCGCGGCGCGTGTCCTCCCTTGAGACTTTTGACGGCCATAGCCAGCCAATAATGAGTGACTTGACTTGAGTTTTGACTATCTACAGTGCGTGGCATAGGTGTAAAACAGTTTTCAAAAGTAACAGATAATTCCACATTCATATTTAAATTATAAGAAAATATTTTTGTAATTTTTGTGGATGGGACATCAATAGTTTGTTTTTATAATTTAAAATACATTCCAAAACAAGAAAAGAATTTAGTTCAAGTAAAGTAAATTTAAAATCTATTATAAATGAAATGTTTACTTTGTTCTCTGCATAAACACTTTAAACACAGTCGCATAATTCTGAAACGCAGTGTAAGACCGCCCCATTCTGCAGTTATTAAAATGAAATTTCGCACAAATTATATTTAAACAGTATCGTAGGCTCAGCCACAATATTGACAATCGTGAACGAACGCCTGCCCTTCAGGGTATGTGGGCTTCGATGTAATAAAGTTAACCCTTTCCCAAGGATTCCCGTTTTGCTCTGCTTTCAAAGTACAGTCAGGTGAGAGGGGAAAACATACGTGTGGCATACGTAGAGAGAAAAATAAGGTTTATGCAGTTCCTTTCGATTGGGGGGCAGTAATCGCTATCAGGACACTAAAGCTTTTCGTCAGATTGGAATGCGATTTAATTGGAACCAGCAGAGGCTGGCATCCTGTCCATATATATGTAATGATAGGCCCAAATTCAGAGTACCAATGTCGCTTGCCGGACTCTAACTGGCCAAGCAAAATAAAAGGCACAAAGGCACAAATCCATCAAGTGTCAGTTGTGCTTCATAAATTGGACCAAGCCAGAAAAGCTTGGCCATGCGGCGACTGTCCTTTTGCGGTTGGGCTTAATATAAATGGGAAATAAATGTTTTATAAATCAGGGTAATATGGTCCGAGGTAAGCTGTCACAAGATTGTGGGGCATTGTGTGTGTGCGTGTGTGCTGCGACCGGATCAAAAATAGAGTGATGATGGCATGTCAAAACCACGCAATCATCTAGGATAATCTTTGGGATTTTTGGGTGTTTGTATAGAGATTTTGATTGACTATTTTTAAAATCAAAATTACCATAAAGTATGCGCCTGGAGGAATTTGATAGAATTAATAGGAAGTCCTAGCTTAAGGAGAACGCCTCAATTCTGCCTTGCATAAACCATGTTGATTGACAGTAAGTGGCCAGGCGTACGAGTATTCCAGGTAATTTAAGTAAATATTCACTCGTCACATATTTTCTGTGCTTCGCAGTCCTGTTTTATGATTCCCCATTGTACCATCTCGCAATTGTTTCTATTGCCCTTTAGGGCATTCACACCCAGCCAACAAAATGAATGAAACAAGCATTATTCATTCATAAAGTCAAGATATGACAGAGCAGAGTGAATAATTGGTTTACCCTGAGGGTTTTTCGTATTCTACGAAATTTCAGAAAATTGAGAACTATCAAATCTATCAAGGAATGCAAGTTACAGTGTCGCTTTCTTTCAACACCTCTGGTGGCCCTTACATTTTATTCCGGCAGTCAATTCGGGAAAACAGCGAAACAGCGGGAAATTGCTCGTAGAAACACCAGCAACAAACTTCCACAGCTCGTTAAAAGGACAGCAGCAAGCAAAGTAAGATGAAAGGATACAATCTTCTTACTTGTAATTTCAATCTTTTTTAGTCATTCGTGCTTTTAATTGACTTCAGATACAGCAGTGGCATCAAACAATATCAATACAATTATCTGATGGAATGAAAATAAATGAAAATCGAGTGCAGAGCCGGAAATTCCCATTTAAAAAGAGCTTTAAATATTCTTAGATTTATTTACCTATGAAATTGAAAATCATTTATATTTCCGGCTAGCCAACTAGCAGCTAAACTTCACTTCAAAAGAAATTTATAATCTGAGTGCTTCAGCTTTTTGACAACAGCTCCTCCTCTTTGCAAAATGTTTTGAGAATTGATTTCTGTTGTGCGTAGGTGTCTCGCCATCAGCTGTTTGATTTTTGGCACAGTTAAAGTCTGAACAAAATTCTCCGAAATTATTCAAATGACTTCCCAGCCGACTACGCATAATAGAATTGATTGAAATGAATGCAAGCCGCACGTATCTCAAATGAACTCTAAATCGCTTTCAGGAATGCTCCCTAGGTGCACAGCATATGCTTGGCGGAAGGTTGTGGCACGAGGACATTGTCAGCCAACACCGCAGGAACTATAGCGACCAATTCCCAGAGTTTTTTGACCTGATGTTTCCGCGAATTTGCCTGGGCAGTTGGGGGGCTTAGGCAAAGCTGATTTTATGATTTTCTTGTGTGCTTCACATTATTTTAAGCCCAAGAAATGGCTTCCCTGCACAGTTTGTATTTTTTGGTTTTAACAATCTTTTCCAGCGGATATTTTACTGACACATAAAAAAGTGGACTCAGACTTTGTTCTTTCAAATATATAATATCCACTAGTTCCACTGTTCCATGTTACTATGGCATTGGAACACATACTGTACCTACATAAGTGGTGGGTCATGAGATATTTTTCTTTTTCAACCTTTCCGCTGAATATTTCTCATATTTCTCCTTACTCTCATTTCCGTAAAAGAAAGGGAATGCACTTGGGGCGCACTTTTATTTGCATTCTTTACACCACTTTGTACACACTCAGGACTTAAGAAAGGAAAAAGTCAGCCAGTCTTCATTTTCATGAGAATTAATTAATTTATTAATTACATTCTTTTTAAGTGAGGAATTGCAAAAGGAATTAAAACAATAATCAATATGAATTACAGGAAAGTTTCCTGGTAGCAGTGAATTTAGATGTTGCGAAAACTAATTTCATCTCACAGGATGAACTCATTTAAAGTGCTCCAAGTCCTTGTGTTGCTCTGGCAACATAAACTCTAATTATAATAATTATTAAGGAAATTTTAATTCCCAACATTTCTTGAAATTAAGCCCTGCCCTAATGACTTAAAATGTTTCTTAAATAAGTGAATACGAGGAAGTGCAAGCCCTCAAGAAGCACCCACAACTTGCATACATTTTCACGTCTCCCAAAGACTTTAATCCATCTTCCATCACTAAAGAAGTAACTGCATAGATGACAAATAAACTGATTTTCTGTGTGCTTAGCCGGAAGACACATTGACGCCTTGACACATTGTTGACTCTCTCTCTCTCTCTGCTTTCGTTTCTGGGTAACGTGAAGAACGAAAAACCTAAAGACTGGATTGCATCTTCTCATTAGCTTGTTGCTCTCAAAATGTCCAATTGCAGTCGATTTCTAGCCTGAATCTAGTGGGTCAAATTGCCATTTGCAAAGGCCGTCAGCAAGATGAAAGCGCAACGAAATTTTGCCATGGGAAATTTTGGCTTTGTGCAGAGTCCCGTCCCCTTCCGGACGTATGTACGTGTGTCCTTGGATACTTGGTACAATGTGTGCATTTCTGCTCCTATGGCGATTCGAATAATTGCTTACTCGAACGTGATTGAAATCCATTTGGATAAGCCCATAAAACATGCCGAAATGTGGCTTTTATGGCATTTTCCCTTTAAAGTCTGCAAATACGTCTTTGCCAAATATTTTTTTAACAAATTGATAAACAAAATTTGGCAAAGTTTTGATGGGGGGAATTAAATGATTAAAAACGTAATTCATATTTTTAAGGGGAACACTCACACTCAAATGTAGCTACATCCACAGAGCGTAATTTATTTCCATAATTGCTGACCAAGAGCATACTCAAGGCGTCTCATCTCTCATGCCGTGCCAAGTGCACAAGGGACAGACCACAGCTTGCCATCGACACAGACCTGAACCGACTGCTTATTTACAGCTCCTGTATAAGTGGATTAAAATTTGAATTAAAACAAGTACGAAAGGCAGCAGCATAGTCCGTGTAGCGACTGACAGTTGCCCATTGCTCAAAGAGGCATATCCTATTGAAAGATGGAATTTGGCATGAGTTTTTGATGCAGGATCGTCAGTTGACTGCTAAAAATCTACGGACTAGCACTCTTTCATGTACACGGTATTTACTATGTTTGAGTTTTTTTTTTGTGTCCGTTTTTTTGAGTCCGTTTTTTTCTCTTGTTATTTTAATAACTTTCCGAAATTTCATTTGACAAGGGATTCTGCCTCTCCACACTTAAACCTTGATGAATATTTTTTAATTTCGAGTACACTCTGAATGGGAACGTTTATGGGGGACTTTCGTTTAAGCTTTTCCTGGCCTGCTCAAGGGCCCTCGTCACTTCTGGAATATGGATGCGGTCTGCAGTCTAAAGGACATAAATCATTGCTTAAATGGCTGATAGCTACCAAAAAATCGCTGCTCTGAATTCTAAAATCTCACTAATGAATTTTTCTAGCACTATTCCGTTCCTAACTCGAATGTCTTTCCACTGCTGAGAGGGGTTTCCATGTCAACCAGTTCCATAAAGCAGAGGGACAGCTTAGGCTTAGCTTCGAGTGGCAAGAGCCACTTGGGAATCAATGCTCTGCAGCCTGACTCTAGTCGTTAGCTTTAAGAATCGACAACCAAAGCGCATCCTGTTTTATTTGCGAATTTAGGGCTCTAATAACCAAATCCAAAACCTAAAAGCGGCGTAGCCGGATCCTGGCCAGACGTGGCCTTACTCAGCTGTCAAATGTCATGATTGAAATAATTATGTTAATATAGATTATTTTGCCATAGAACATAAATGGTCGGATGTGTATAAATAAGTATGTATATTCATATTAAGAAATATGTATCTAATAGTCCAATATTTTAATGCATGGTGGGTCATAAATCTCATATGTAGATGTCCAGATGGCCAATTTGCTTTTATGTTTGGTTTAAAATTGAGTGAAATTAGATTGATTTTTATTGAAATAAATATGTTGGTTCAGAGGAAATGCGGCTGGCTAATTACTTTGTAATAATTTCGTAATACTATTGAAACAAAGCTGTAATTAAGCTAGTGACCACAAATAATAGCGTACTGCCAATAATTACATTTTAATTTAAATCAATTGTATGCTTTGTGCGAGAGCATGATGCCTATGTGAGTGAAAAGAGAGAGGGTTGTGGTGCTGCGCTCTCTTTGACTACCTTGAGGCAAGAAAACTCACCCCTAATAGTTAATCCTCGCTGGGGGAGTGAGTGCTGGGAGTCCGATTGCATCAAGACTTAGGTATCTGGTAATGGTTGAATGAAGGCTCCAGGTATACAAGTTATCAGTGAGCAAGCCAGGCTAATCAGTTTCTGCCATGCTGTCAGTTTGTTGAAAATACAATTTTTGTATTTGCATTGCTTTTTTCCAAATTTTATGTTTTTCCTGTGTTCGATATGGTTAATTTCTTGATGAAGCCGGCATGTGTATTCATAATGCTCCAGACGGCGGCCATCATATCGATGATGGATCTGGAATTCAAAATTGTGAAGCCACCTTGTAGATCCTGCCACAAGCCAGAAGCTGTAGTGCGCTTAAACTTCGATACACATGAAGTGCTACAGAGTCCTCTGTATTCTCTATGCGCACTGAGCTTAGTTTTCTACGGATATGGAGTCGTGTATCTGCGGACAGATGCGCCTTTGAAGGGCTTTGTGCTACGGCTATGCAGCGCCAGTGTGCTGCTGTGGCGTAAGCTCAGTCCCATAATGATCCTGCCATGGCTAATGATGGTGGGTAATGGCATATTACCGTATCCCGAACGCCTCTGGAATTGCATTTCAATGGAACACGAAGGAGAGATCAATAACTTTCATTGCATGGCCTTTGCCGCCATTTCCTTTTGGATCTTCTCAATGTTTGCGATAGTTTGGACTTTTCGCATGGTTATCAAGACAAACCAAAGACTGCTCTTCTCCACACGGCTCGAAACAGACGCAACATCTGAGCTACGCGCCTACATACGGGCAATAAACGAATCATTCGGCTTTGAATTGGTTGTCATCGATACTTAAGCAATGCTCAAGAGATATTTATGGACAATTTTTACAAATTAAATCATTAAAGATCGCCCAGATACATTAATAGTTGGTCATTTTATCATCTAGCGCCGTAATAGTTTCGATGTGACAGCGTCCATTGAAGATGTTTACGCTGATCCAAGGGACACGGAATTTAATCTCAACAATTAGCTTACGAGCGATAGTTCAACGAACTGCAGCAACATGAACCTACTCGGCACTCGGCATAGCTTTCGGACACCTGTACTTCAAATACACCAATTGTGCAATAGTAAATGCTAATAAAATAAGAGCCATACAAAAAGGATCTGCAAGTTACTTACAGACAAGAACATGCCCACGAAACCCTCTTGGAATTTAGCCCAAATTCCGAAACCAAGTTGCAGACTTTACCCCATTCTACAAGCTTAAATCCAGCTTAAATCCAATGTTTATGTTTTGGGTTTGTTTGGTTTTTGCACTGCCCCACTAACCGACAAAATATGAATAAATTAAGTGTCAAACACACACACACACACAATCCCTTGCACTACTAATGATCCGTCTGGCTTTAATGTGACACACCCTCAGGTGACACTCGGCGGACTGCCACTTGCTGTGGAGGACGTTAATAAGAACCCACATCTCTTGCCGGGCAAAAAGTTGGCCTTCAAGCCCGTAGACATTGGCAAGCAGAGTACATATCGGATCAAGCCTTTGAGGTGAGTCTCCACAAACTAAACAGTGAGCCGCTGACATTGACCCTTTTGATGAACGTTACCAGGGCCATGACCCAAATGCGGGAGACTGGCATCACAGCCTTCATAGGACCCGATGAGAGTTGCACGACGGAGGCACTGCTGGCTTCCGCCTGGAATATACCAATGCTATCGTTTGTGAGTGCAACGATATATATTATTGTAGAGTATGGCATTTACTGGAGTGTTTTCTGTACACCATTTCCCATCTTGCTTATGTAGAAATGCTCCGACTCAATTGTCTCCAACAAAAGCACATTTCCCACCTTTGCACGTACTCTGGCACCAGCCTCAAAGGTAATGCCTCTCACTGACTTAAGAACTTTCCTAAATATGGTATATCAAACATATCCCCATAAAGGTCTCCAAGAGTGTTATCAGCCTGTTGAGCGCGTTCCATTGGCAAAAGTTTGCCATCGTCGTGAGCTCCAAGCCAATTTGGGGCTCCGATGTGGCACGGGCCATACAGGTGAGTATCCGATTTCTCTGGCTATAGTATGTCCAACTGACTTGGGGTTTGCTGAATCAGGAACTGGCAGAGGCGCGAAACTTTACCATCAGCCACTTTAAGTATATATCGGACTATATACCAATCACGAAAACACTTTCGCAGATTGACAAAATCATAGAAGAGACCTACACAACGACACGCAGTAAGTAAAGAAAATCAATGTGAAGCCAATATATATTACTGATTAATACATCCCTCAGTTTATGTATTCATTGGAGAGCATATAGCAATGGTTGACTTTGTGCGGGGTCTGCAGAATCGACGGTTGCTCGAGAGCGGTGACTATATCGTGGTGTCCGTGGATGACGAGATCTATGACTCGAATCGACGTGTGAACATTATGGAACGTAGTAAGTGGATTGTATGGTCTAGGTGATCCCGGCTAGAGTTCTAATGCATGCACCATCTATTCCAGATTATTTAGATCCTTATATTAGAAAAGAAAAGAGCAAATCACTGGACAAAATCTCATTTCGTTCAGTTATAAAAATAAGCATGACATATCCACAAAACCCCCATATTCGGTAATTTATCAGAATCTTAGTTAACTAACTGTGCGTATTTCTGTTGCCACTTTCTAAGAAACATTTAACAATCTTGAACTCAATATTAGAATCAAAAGATCGAGTTGAGTTTAACTTAAAAGTAGTTTGAGTTCTTTGAGCATGTTTCAGCTAAAATTATGAATATTCTTTGACTTATTTATTGTTTTTAAATATATCAATTAGGGTTTTACTTTTGGCGTTACGTTTTCTTTTTCCAATTAATTTTGAAAAATATCTTAAAAAGTTTCCCGTTTCAACCTAAATTCCAAGCTAAGCTAACATTTCAATTGATTCATTTGCATGGCTTTTCAATGAATATTATGCCAAATTTCGTACGCAATTTTTGTCCGTCTATTTTTCTGTTTTTCCACTGTGTTTGCAGCGATATTTGTTCGAAAATAAAGGAATATGCGCGTAAGACTCCGTTTTTGGTGCCATATCATCAGCGTGTATTCGACAACATATCGGTGGGTACAAAATTAAATAAGAAATCATATCTGAACTCTACTTTGACTGCTTAATCTGCAGGTGCCCATTTATGGCCTGCATCTCTATGACAGTGTTATGATTTATGTACGCGCTATATCGGAGGTTCTTAAGCTCGGCGGCGACATATACGATGGCAATCTAGTAATGAGTCATATTTTCAATAGATCGTACCATTCCATACAAGGATTCGATGTAAGTAAATATTAGGGGAGAGTGAAAGCGAAGAGGATGTGAAATATTGTGATAATTTAATCTTTAAGTCGTGAAACGGGAACACTCACATGTACATGTGTGACAAGTTGTTTGCGACAAATTTCACTTTTTTATCCAAAGAGGATACAGTTCAGCAACATTCGTACATCGCAATTTCCGAGTGAATAATTACATTTTAAGTACGAATAAATAGCCAGTAAGCAGCAATTCAGGTGCAAATGGCCCACTTAATCGGCTGGACTGTCAACAGTCCATTTGTCAAAATGTTCGCACAATGCTAATGTGCTCAGCTTAGTCGTAGATATGCCTTCTGGGCGGCAGCTTCCCCTGGAATGTATGTAGTTAACACAGGCTTATGCTGGGGTCATCAATCTCACACTTTTGGGTCAACCCAATGCTGTTGATGATGACGAGGGAAATAACTATGACTGCGACAGGACAGCATATTTGAATGACAAGTCAGCAATTGAGTCAGGGGCGTATCGTTCATCCATCAACAATGTCGCAGCAGGCGAAAATAGCTGAGGGAGTAAACTTATTGCTGTTCTCTAATCTTAAAGTCACAACTAAATTTTGACTTATATTCCTAACAAACCTCATTCGCATAGGTTTACATAGATGCCAATGGCGATGCGGAGGGCAATTACACGGTGATAACACTGCAAAACGACTTGAGCAGTGGGTCCGCTGGTGTATCTCTGGCCAAGATGTCCATGCAGCCAGTGGGTTTCTTTGCCTACAACAAGCATTCCCTGATACCAGTGAGAAGCATCTGCACCATAGAACACCATAAACACACTTAATAATTGCCAAATTCATAGGAGTTTCGGTACATAAAGAATGACAGACCCATACAGTGGCTGAATGGTCGCCCACCTTTGGCAGAGCCCGTCTGCGGTTTCCATGGAGAGCTGTGTCCTCGCAAGAGACTTGATTGGCGGTACCTGGCCACAGGTCCATTGTGTGCCCTAGTGGTTGTGGTTGCTATCGCTCTACTAATCAAGCAAGTTACCCATATTTCCATTAGTTGGTAATTGCTTTAATAACAAACATTATGTAATCTGTTGCAGACATTATCGTTATGAACAGACACTGGCTGGTCTATTGTGGAAGGTGGATATGAAGGAGGTGACGGTCATCAATCTGGGTGAATACAACAATCCCAACAACAAGAATATAGTGCGTGAAATATTACCTATAATTCTATCTAATTTATGTGTGATATCTGTTTTCCATTTGCCTCTTACAGTTTCAAATCTGTCGGCAAAGTATACTTGTGGTTGGCGAGCCCAACAAGAGGTCCTTTACGAATATTGGTACGTTTCTCTATCATCTGGAGTCACCTTATTTACTTCTCCTATTTGATGCAGCTCTTTTTCGTGGGAATATTGTGGCCATGAAGAAGATACACAAGAAGAACGTGGACATCACTAGATCGATACGAAAGGAACTAAAAATAATGCGTGAAGTAAGTGCGAGTCCAAGAAAGTTAAATCATATTTCAAACTAGCTAATCCCAACTCAAGGTACGTCATGAGAACATCATCAATTTCATTGGCGCTTCCACGGACCATGGTTCCGTTATACTATTTACCACTTACTGCGCCCGTGGCAGCCTGGAGGATGTGCTGGCCAACGAGGACCTGCACCTGGATCACATGTTCGTGTCGTCGCTGGTCTCGGACATACTGAAGGGCATGATTTACCTGCACGACTCGGAGATCATATCGCATGGCAACCTGCGGTCCAGCAACTGCCTCATCGACTCCCGCTGGGTGTGCCAGATCTCGGACTTTGGCCTGCACGAGCTTAAGGGCGGCCAGGAGGAGCCGAACAAGTAAGGACTTACTGGTTAACTTTTGCACCGGGACATAAGCACTCCATCTTTGTGGTCTTGTGACGTTCGTAGAAGTGAACTGGAATTGAAACGTGCCCTGTGCCTGGCGCCGGAGCTTTTGAGGGATGCCTGTCGACCGGGTCGTGGCACACAGAAGGGGGATGTCTACTCCTTCGGAATACTCCTTTACGAAATGATTGGCCGCAAGGGTCCCTGGGGCGACACGGCCTACACGAAGGAGGGTGAGCCCCTGAATCCTGGCATTTAATTCAACAATGACCAATAAAATATGTTAATTCACTTATTCATAGAGATAATTAAGTTTGTCAAGTGCCCGGAACTGCTGCAGCACGGCGTATTCCGACCGGCTCTGACGCACACCCACCTGGACATACCGGACTATATACGGCAGTGCCTGTGCCAGTGCTGGGACGAAGATCCAGAAGTGCGGCCCGACATTCGGCTTGTACGCATGCATCTAAAGGAGTTGCAGGCTGGTTTGTATGTACATAAACACAACAATTTTATAAAAGAGAGTGCAAAATGCATGGAAGGGGTACATGATAATTTCAATCATCAGCTTGCAAGCTTCCTCAGCTGGAGCACCGTGTGGATCGTAAGAGAGCGGTGTGGATCGCAGCGCTGTCAGAGAGCGCTAACAGTGGTTTGTAGACGGGAGCGGTAACAGACTGTTAGCCCGTGGTAACATTAACAGTGCCGTGGCTC